CCAGCGCTTTCCAACTTCAAGGCTGCAGACTCATCACCAGAAATTCAGCCCTCGTACGACGACAGCAACTGGGTTGTTGCGAACAAGACGACCACCCTCAGCCCAGTCAAACCACTTACACTACCCGTTCTCTTTAGCAGCGATTACAAGTTCTACACGGGCGCGAAAATCTACCGTGGCTACTTTTCTGGCAAGACAGCCACCGGGTTCAACATCACCGTGCAGGGAGGTGTGGCTGCGGGATGGAATGCATGGCTCAACGGACAACCCCTTGGATACCATGGAGGCAACGCCTCACTCACATCAACCACAGCGCAGCTATCCTTTGGCAACGCGACACTGCTGGAGCAAAGCAATGTCCTGACCGTGATTACCGACTACACAGGCCACGACCAAACGTCGACCGGACCGGCAGGAGCCGAGAACCCACGTGGTATCCTAGACGCACAGCTCCTCACTGCCAATAGAACTAAGCTGCCTTTTGACCAGTGGAAGATCCAAGGAAATGCGGGTGGAGAGAAAAACCTGGATCCCGTTCGTGGCCCGATGAATGAAGGTGGTTTCTACGGCGAGCGTCTAGGCTGGCACCTCCCCGGCTTCGACACTGCATCCTGGGAGTCTGCAAGCCCGACAGTCGAAGGTGTCGAAGGCGCTGCGATACGCTGGTTCACTACTACCTTTTCACTTGATATTGATGCTGATCTTGATGTTCCGATTGGGGTTGAACTAGTGGCACCCAAGAGCACGATTGCACGCGTCATGCTGTTTGTGAATGGATACCAGTATGGCAAGTTTGTGCCGCATATTGGGCCGCAGACGCGGTTCCCGGTTCCGCCTGGTATACTCAACATGAGAGGGGAGAATACACTGAGTGTGGCTGTGTGGGCACAGACGGACAAGGGGGCCAAGCTGGATACGTTGAGATTGGTCGAGTATGCGCGGTATGAGAGTGGGTTTGGATTTGGCGAGATTGATGGTGAAGAGCTGCAGCCGAGGTGGGAAGATCGAAGTCAGTACGCTTGAGAAACTTGTTTCTCTAAGGGACAATTCACGGCAAATGAAGGGTTCTTGATTCCACTACTCACATGAAGTAGCAGTTTGGATACCATTTTGGGTCTCTTGTACATAATTTTCGTAAGCATGCAGTCGCTAGTATAAATGCAAAGTAACAGCCGTAAATGCGAGGGTTCATGCTCAGTCATCCCAACCGTCGTGGCCACCGTCTTCAAAGTCGAGCACCATGTCGACCCAGTTACCGCCGCCGTACTGGCATTTGCTGGGGCCAATCTTCTTGAAGCCTGCTCGTTCGTAAAAGGGTATGTATCGGTCTCTGCAGATGAGGGCTATGCGCGTGGCGACGCCAGAGTCCTTTATTCTTTGCACGTAGCTTCGCAGTAATATAGAGCCAAGTCCCTTTCGGGCAAAGTTGGGGTGTACACAGAGCGAGTGGAGACATACAGTTTGGCCGTCTTCATTGTGGCCAGTCGAGGGTGCTAGCTGGTAGTTGGTCTTCCAGTCCTTTGGATAGTCCATGGCGTCATCGGTGACGAGAGGGGATTTGGATTTGGTGGATATGATGTGGGCGAGTAGAATGCGTTTTCGATCACTGTCGGTGGAATTTATTGAAGGAAAAGTGCGTGTCTTGAGGATCTCGCCCAGAGGCCCTGAGGTGGTGGGGTAGGCGGATGAGAAGAGGCCGCTGCAAAGTTCGCCGCATGTTCGCAGACGGTAATCGAGCTAGAAGAGGTTAGTGGGGGAATCCAGGTGGCACAGTAGGGCGAAGACGGTTGGTGGTCGAGTGTTAGCAGGGAAGGAACACAAGCGATTGCCGTGCAGCCACTGGCCTGTAGCACAACAACGAACATGTACACAAGACATGACGGATAGTGAAAAGCACATGACCAGGCAGTATGCAGTGGCCGTTGATCAAGGTAATGTAACGTGCATCAAGGGGAAGAAAAGGCCGGTGGCCGATGGCGACATGTAGCCCAAAGGTGGTACTGGACAGATTGACACTGAAGCACACAGGCACGAAAAGTACCAGGACTAGAGGAAGAAAGGATGGAAGGAAAGAAAGAAAGAAAGAGACGGCAAAGCAGTAGGATCGGTCTCACCTTTTCTCGGGAAGCGGCCTCGATGGGATCGAAGGCGGCATGCTCAAGCCAGTCGCAGTCATCGAGATCGTCGATGTTGAGCAGGGAAGAATAGGGACGGAGACGCATCTGCCTAAGCGTTTCCTCCTGGGCAATGCTTGAGCTGCGATGGGGTACCAGACTCGACGACTGCTCCTTGGGGTCCGGGCTGGCTAGGGCGTCTGGTTCTCTGGACAGCTTGGGCATGCTCTCGAGCGTCTGTTTGTCGGCCAGCAGGTCGCGTGGCATGGTTGCTTTGGAATATGCAGGCGGCGGCAGGTGAGAGAGAAAGAGAGAGAGAGTGGATGGCACTGCAGGACAAGCAGCAGACGGACGAGCACAGGGTGGACAGGGTGGCCGGGGTGGACAGACAGTCCAGCCGTGGGCATGGTCACGGGACTCGCTCACCGGCCTCGCCCCGCCTTTACTAGCGGCTCGCTTGGCCTGCCGTTGTAGATCCCCGCGGGCACGTGACCCGGCATGCTTAGGGACGTGGGCATACCGTATTCCGAAGGATTATGGGCCTCGTCCAGTCCAGCTGCCGATGGGGCCTGGACACGAGATGCAACGGCCAGATAGACTGATTCGCCCCGCATGTGCTGCGCAGGCGAAACGTGTTGGCTGCAGTCTGCACATTCGGGGGCGACTGGCTGGTGGGGGATGCGCTCGTATCTATCGAGGTGCCCGTGTGTAGTGTAGATATGTATAGTACTGTGCAGTGCAGGTCCATGTAAAGTCGGTAGGGTAGCTACGTAGTAGCAAAAAGCAAAAGCAGTAGGGATGGACTGCCCCGCTTCCTCTGCCCCCCTTGTTCCCAACGGCCAACGACGTCGTCTCAGCTCATGACAGGCGGTGCTCCTTCGACTGCACGCCTTTGTCCCAGCCCGACGACGCTGGTACATGACAGGGTCACCGTCTTGCTGCCCTACTGTACGCGCTGCTCCCACTCCCACAACATGGCGGCCCTGCAGCCTGTGCCCTCTGATCGCTGATTCATCTGATCCGTCCGCCGCTGGTCTTGCGGCTCCACTGCCTTCCATTTCCTTCCAGCCTCTCTGAGACCCCAAGCCGGCAACCGTCATCCCCAAAGGCCTCTGCCGCCGCCAAACCCCACAAACTCCCAAAAGGCCCTGCCACCGTGCTACACTCTTTGCCCGCTTCCAGACTCGCCCGCATACGCCCCAGCGCCCCTCCCCGATCCGCCATGTGAGTCCAGCCCAGAGCCGTTTCTGTCCCACCACCACCACCATCACCACCGCTGCTAACCTGCCCTCTCTAGGCCGCGCGTCACCATATCCATCACTGCGCCCGGCACCAGCGCCGACGCAGACCTGCTGACGCTCGAACTGCCTCCCGGGAGCACCATCAAAGACCTCAAGGGCTTCATCGAGGCCGACACCAGCCTGCCCGCCGCCGCACAGAGCCTCTACCTAAACGGCCAGCCCGTCGCCATCGACACACAGACACTAGAGGATGCCGGTATCAAGGATGGTGAGATGCTGGCCGTCGTATTGCGCGCCGCACCTCGACCAAACAGGAACATGCATCAGTCGGGCAGACCAGCCCAGCCGGATCCAGAGGGTGTGCGACAACTGGTCCTCAACGACCCCCAGCAGATGAACAAGTTACGCCAGGCCGACCCGGAACTCGCCGCCGCCGTCAACGACCCCACCAGGTGGAGGAATACATATGCCCAGAGGCAACGCCAGGCAGAGGAATCAGAGCGCGAGCGCCAGAACCAAATCGCCCTGCTCAACGAGGACCCTTTCAACGTCGAGGCCCAGCGCAAGATTGAAGACATCATTCGCCAGGACCGTGTTGTTGAGAATCTGCAAAAGGCATATGACGAGAATCCAGAGGGTGAGTACTGACATGGTTTCGTGTAAATTATTTTTCTTCTAAATTCTGAAACCCCTCAACTCGTCAAATTTTACTGTAGTACCTGCTAAACTAGAAACACTGACATGATGCAGTCTTCACGCGCGTACACATGCTCTACGTCAACACCGAAGTCAACGGTGTGCCCGTCAAGGCCTTTGTCGACTCTGGCGCCCAGGCCACCATCATGTCCCCCGACTGCGCAGAGCGATGTGGCATCATGCGACTGATGGACGTCCGATATGCTGGTATGGCACGTGGTGTCGGTACAGCACGTATTTTGGGTCGCGTTCACCATGCTGAGATTAAAATTGGAGGCGCAGTCATGCCCTGTGCCTTCACTGTCATGGAAGGCAAGGACGTCGATCTTCTCTTTGGTCTCGACATGCTGAAGCGCTACCGTGCCAAGATCGATCTCGAGAAGAATGCGCTATGCTTTGAAGGCCAGGAAGTTCCCTTTTTACACGAATCGGAAATTCCCAGGAGCTTTGAGGAAGCCGAGTTGAACGAGCCCACCGTTTCCGGCCCTAATGGTGAAGAGATTGGTGCAAAGACTGGTGCTGTGCGACCCAAGGGCTCTTCACAAGCTGGCCCCTCCAACACTGGCGCATCATCGTCATCGTCATCGTCGCAACCTGCACAAACCCAAGCCCAGCCAACAGCGTCCAAAGCACCTACGCTTGCCGCGCCAAACTCCAGGTTTCCTCGCGAACACGTCCAGCAGCTCACTGGCATGTTTGGCTGTTCTGAACAAGAAGCCATACAGGCCCTGGAGATGTTTGGCGGCAACGTAGAGCACGCTGCAAGTTTCCTCATTGGCGGTTAACTCCCGACTTTGAATCAGCGATAGAAGGAAGGCAAACTCGGAATTATCAACATGTCGAGGGTTTCCTAAACGACGCTTACTTGGGACTGCCATAAGCCTGTATGGCACGAGTTCCCCTGTATGGAGTTGATTCGAGACTTGCACCTGGTTTTGGACGACCGAGTAGACAAACTCATGGGGAAAATTATGGCGTTGGCATGGTACAACATAGCATATCCTGCATGTGTTACTGCTAACAAGCATGATTGGGATACACAAGGGTTTCATTGAGGACGACGTGAACAACAAGTAGTAGAGAGCAAAACAGAACAAAAAGAGATGTATGATAGAATCAAGCACTCTTTGAAAGTGATTTTATTATAGAGTATCGTGAACCCCGTGAACCGCCGCACACATGTCTCCGCAATATCTACTCCCCCTTTCGTTGTTTACCTAATCTTGTACAAACACGGCTTCAACACCGCCTTGTCTGCCTCCTCGCCCTCATCCTCATCCCCAGCACCCAAGCCCATACGCTTGCCCTTGAGCCCAAACTTGAGCCCGCCACCCCTCTGCGCCACAGCCCCCTCCTTTTGGTCTTCCCGCGCATTCTTGCCCCGACTGGGATGCGCCGCCTTGACAAACTGCATCTTGACAAACATCTTGTTGCTCAGATCAATCGCGTCACCAGGTCGCTCGGGCAGCGCATCAAGCACAAACCCACGCTTGCGCAGGACATTGACAAAAGCCGATACATCCGTTCCTTCTTTGGCATCCTGGCCATCCACCACAACCGCCAGCTCCGCCTCATCTTCCGAATCCTCAGGCCCTTCTTCCGGCGGCTTCTCCCCTTTATTCGCCTTCTTCACCTTGTTATTCTTCGACGCGAGTTTCTTGCTATCCACTGGTTTCCGCAGTGACCCAATGGAATTGATAGGCACACCACCTTTCTTCTTGTCGACACGGCCGAAGCGAGATTTAATCTCCGAGACCCAGAGCTCACCGCGCCAGCGCAGGATGCGGTAGGCCTCGTCGATGAAGTCGAGCCAGTTTGTGCCCATGAGGGCTAGGCAGAAGATTGCGACGTCGACGCTGTTGTCGGCGAGGGGCAGGGCGGCGATGTCGGCGACAGTGACGAGGTCGGCAGAGGGTCCGCTGGGTTTCGAGAGGTCGAAGGAGTGGAAGGTTAGGTTTAGCGATTTTAGGTGCGGTTGGAGGCGGTAGGAGAGCGAGGCAGTGCCGCAGCCTAGGTCGGCGATTGTGCTGTGGCCTTTGAAGTCGCGGGGGAGAGGTTTTGCGTCGCCACGGGGAGGCGCGATGGAGGTAGCCTCTTGCTCGTCTTCGAAGCCAGGGCCCCGGCGTACGGCAGCTTTGTTTTGTGCTTTGCGGTCTTTGCGCTGGTCTTTGTTGCGGAGTTCGGCGCGGACGAGGATGCTGTTTACGTAGCTGTCTACGGGATTCGAGGGCCATACTTCGACCTGTTGTGCGAAGCCTCGGTGGTAGTCTTCGAACATGGAAGGATCTTCTTTGAAGAGCGAGGCGCTGTCGGCAGATGGTTTTGTGTAGAGAGCTTCGTTTAGATGGCGGAAACGGGCACTGGCCAGCTTGCTGCGCATGGAGCGTTGCAGCGGTGTGAGGCCCTTGGGCTCAGGCAGGAGATTTTCGAGGGTGGGTGCTACTGGCACAGCTTTTTCTACAGCTGCGTTCGCGGCGAGGAGTTTATCGGCTTTGGACTCTTTCTTGCGCTTCTTCTTATCGCGTTTCGACTCGCCATCGGTGGCTGCATTCTTTTCTGCAGAAGCCTTTGCAGGAGAAGGTTTGACCTCCTCTGCTACTTCTTCTGTTTCCCTTGTGTCATTCTCACCCGGCTGTTTATCCTTGTTGCCTCCAGCCTTTCCCCGCTTCCTCTTCTTCCCGCGCTTCTCTTGCGCCGCATCGTCTGCCTCTACTGCGCCATCTGCCTCTAATGTCTTACTCTGTTTGACCTCTCCACTCTTTCCACTCGTTATGCTCTCCCATTTTTCCGCCAAATTATCCACATTGACCTCTTTCTCTTCGCGCCTTTCCTTGCGCTTCTGCGCCTTCTTTCCAGGTTTATTCTGATCCTTTGGCTTGGGCGCTTCGACCTGCGTTTTGACCTGCGCGGAGACGTTCCATCCGGGCACCGCGAACATATTTCCGAGGGTTTATAGGCAGTATCCGGTATGGGTGTTTTGTCAACGGAAAGTTGGACAAAAAAAGTTCCCGGCGTAGCTCGAAATTTTGGGCGGCGGAAGGTTTGGCCGACATGTGGGGCTTTCGCGCGGAGTTGCTTAGTACCCACTAATTTTGAACGTGAATGTGGGCATGGGTATTTAGTTCTCGCAACATCAAAACACATGTAAATTGCACGACATGTGATTGAAAATGCTAAAGTAGACTATTTCTGAACACCCAAAGATATGCGAGAGAACGCTTTTCATTGTTTCGTCGCCCTTCACAAACCATCCATTCCACTTCCGTAATCATACATCACACGTCTCTTATCGCATTCGGGTCAACAGAACCACTAGCAAGTCAGTGAATCGCGACAGAAGAAATGAAGCATGTAAAAGAATGTATGGTAAAGATGACATTATACTTAAATCTCGTCTTCTCGACAAGGTGAATGACGTCATGCAGCCATACCATAAACCATAGGCAGACGTGATCTTACCCACTGGTCCCCCATTGACATATGCACATTCCTCCCCCTCCTTCCGCTTCCCGAAAACATGGGAGAAGCACCTCAAGACATTTACAAAGATACCAGGCTTAAAAAGTAGATTTTTAGAAAAAAGAATAAACTCCGACCCAACACCAAACCACTCTCATGATGACCAAAAAAAAGATTTGATGACGAATTCAAAATGTTACTTTTTGTTCGGCGACAATCTGTCACCTACACACCTATTATTCCGGGTGATGTGGTTGCTGGGAGATACCCTGCTCCTTATCCTCGATGCTCTCGCTCTCCCTTGGGACAGCGAAGCTCTTGCGGACAATCATGTCAGCCTTTGTCTTGGTCATGAGCGCATCGCGGATATCTTGTTTGCTTCGCGCCATCCAGCTGCTGTAGTTCTTCTGGCTGAGTGGCCAGATGGGCATGTTGCCGTCGCGGCGCATGTATTCGCGAGCAACAGGTGGCGGCTGAGAAGTGATGTAGTCAATGTCCATTTCCAGTTCTTCACAGAAGGCTTCCAGGGGCAGATCGTTAACATCGTGGCCGAAGGGGTTCTCGATTTCGCGACCAATGGCGGAGAGACCGATGCTGGTAAACTAGGTTAGCAAATGTAAAGCGACTAAATGTACATCCATGGGAAACTTACATGATGTAAGCTGCGAAGATACAGCCGGGAATAGTGATCCAGCGAAGACTATCCCACAATTGGAAAGGCAACATCATGACGTAGACCCAGGTGATTTGAGAAATGGCGATCGAATAGGCAATAGGCAGAGGGGTTTGCAGGACACGGTCCATACCGATAAGGGCTTCGTTGAGCTGGACGATGCTGGTAATGGCTTGGTTTTGGTACAGACCAACATTCAAGGTGTCGTTTTCGATGAGGCTGTGAACATAGGCGGCGATGTGGTTGAGGATTTCGAGAGACAAGTTACCGAGAGGCTTCTTGGAGCGCTTGATCCTCTTGCGGGGGTTGGACTCGGCAAAGGTGACGCCGAGGTATTCACCAACGGCCTTCAACTTCTTCTTATCAGCGGGAGCGGGGATGTCGACTTCGGCAGCACGAGCAAAGGTGTCGAGGAACTCAACACGGTCGCGGAGATCAGGGTAGTCGATACCAGGCTCAAATCGAAGCCTGTGCTTGATGGAGCAGGCATATGCGTTGAGCAGATTAAGGGCAGACAGCTTGTTAAGCAAGTCTTCCTTACCAAGCTCGCCCTCGCGTTCCTTGGCGTGAATCCAGATTGTCCTTGCCAGGTTCTGGCTGACGAAGATGAGTTGACTCCAGTACTTGCGACCTTCGGTGTAGCGCTCATAGGCCGTGCTTGTCCGGAAAGAAATGGCCAGACCAACGACGAAACCAAGGACGGTGAGAAGCAAATTGCTGACAACGAGGGGATAGACGAATTGCGAAATGCAGGTGATTGCAGTAGCCCAGACAGTAATAACGATGATTGGCAAGATCATCTTGGGAAAGACGGAACCATGCATTCGCATAAAATATGGCCATTTGCTGTGTTTGGCCATGTCACGAGGTCCGACCTGAGCACTTCTGTTAGACGAATTGTATACACAATCAATGGAACGCACTACTCACAAAGTAGTCCTCGGCATCAAGGCTGCCAGTGGTCTGACGCCTTGAAGGAACTTGGTAGGTGACAGCACGGTGTCGCCATGACCGTGGAGACATTGGTCCGTCTTCGGCAGCATTGTGAGTCCCGTTTGAAGTAGGTCGGATTTCCAAGTTGTCCGGGCGAAGCGTCTTGGACGTCGAAGTCGTTGACGGCGCCATTGTGTCGGCAAAACGCACGAGAGATCAGCGCGCAACCGGCCAGCAGTTGAAAGTAGTGTGTGGTACGTTAGGACCGGGTCAGAGAAGTGGTCAATGCTCTAGCGAGAGTCGAGAGAGCCAAGTAAAAAAGAGGCCCACTAAATGATCGAGGTGTAGAGAGTGACGCGAGTCAAAGAAGCGATGCAAAGAGTGGAAAGAACGTGTGGAGGGAACGTTCTGATTAAGAGGGCAAACAAGGCAAAAAGGACGGATCAACGTTGAGTAGGGATCAAGCAGCGTGTACTTAAATATAAAACGCGGCGTATGTCGAAAATGGCAGCGATGGCAGCATCTCTGCACAAAATGCCTTGCGTAACCCAGTGGCGCCCACGGGGATTCGCTCCCGCGGGTCCTGGGGCCAGCCATGGATGGTCCGACATGCGATGGCGAGGCCGGTTGGCATGCAGGGGCCGTTTTGCACAGTGTGCCCCTGAGCCAAGGCGGCGGCGGCTGGCCAATTGCGCGGGAGATGCTGGTGGGGGCCTTTCGTAAAGAATGCTCAGTCGCGTCGAGGTGCAAGGGGTGCGACGCGGAGCACTGTTTCATGAAACGTATGTTGGCCGTGCCGAGTACGCCACTGGCCGTCTCTCTTGGTGTTGGGGAGTTGGCATCTGCTGGTTCAGCATGTGCTGACTGCTGCTGCTACCACTTGGCGCCGATTGCCGTGTCTCTGGTGCAGCCATCGCTGGGATCGCGGGGGCTCTCAGCATGCTTGATAGCGCATGACTGCGGTTGCGTGTGATGGCCATGGTGCGGGCAATGGCAGGCTGGATCGACGTGCGTTACACATGTGTCAGGACCGATGATGGGCGTGAGTGTCCGTGGGTGTCCGTGGGTGTCAGTTGGCAAGTGGATGCAGAAGGGGAGGTCTGGACAGTCTCGTGCCGAACCGAGGGCTGTCCTTGCCCCTGACGCCGTCCAGCCAATGGCAGCCCGTGCCTGTGACTCGGCGGCCAAAAGCCTCGTCAGCGTCGTGGCACGAGCATGGCCTTGCTTCGTCCGTCTGCCATTTCTAGATTGCCATGGACATGGCTGTGGCGTTCTAGCTCCCACACTATTTCCAGCGCCTCCCGACGCCATCGGGAATACCACCATGTTTACGACACTGTCCCAGGCCTGCCACGGCACATGTCTGCTAGAACAAGGAGCCTCGTCGGCACCTTGGTCGTACAGCCCCATCGCCTTCCTTCCCGCAATCCATCCGTCCCCACAGCCCGGCATAAGAAACGTTGAACGGCGGAATAGGAAAAGAACCAGAAAGAAGAAAAAAACCGCGCACCGAACATGCTTCAGTCAACTAATCTCCGAGCCCTTCGTCTCCACACCCCAGCTATGACCCGTGGACGACCAAGAACATGCCCATTCTAAACCTGGAGTCCTGCCCCATTTGCCATCCAAGCACGTACTTATTATCGCATCTGGATCCTCCTCATTTCTGCTCGCCCCCTCTCCAGCTCCACCGCTAGTCCTCTGGTCCTAAAAGTCACTCCGTCGACGCATATCCGCACGCGCTTGATCCTCTCGAGCAGCGTGCGGTACAGCCTTGCCCTCATGTCCCTCCCGTCCGTCGCACCCCAGATCTTGTCCCAAACATCCACCAGTTCGTTTCGCAGGCGCTCCGTCTCGGCCTTGTCAGGCGAAGAAGTAGAAGACGCGTCTCCTATTACCAGTGCATCCTCATCACTTTCGTCTCCCCATGGACTTCCTGACGCCGTGCGTGCACGTGGAACAACGTTCAGAATGACTTCGTCCACGCAGTCTATACGCCGGTTGCTGCGCATCATATCCGGGCCGTTGTCAAACATGTGCTTGAGAGCCGCGCATATAGCCCAACTTGTCATTTCGCCCTGCGTTGCTGCTGCTGATCCTGACCCATTCGACATCGTAGACTCAACCGGCCGAACATCCACCCACACCCGCTCAATATTCGCGTAGGACCGTGTATAAGAAAAGAGTCTAGTGTTGCTGCTGCTGCTGCTTCTCCCCTTGACATCACTCTCCATCCACGCATTGAAAAAGCTGACGACCCAACTCCAGCTCTCCATAATCTTGCTCGTCCAGCTCTGCCCCCTCTCTTCCTCTAGTCTCCGCGCGCTCCCGTCCGCCGGCCTGACAAATGGCACAGCAAGCCAAGTAAAGTAATGCGCGTTGTTTAGCACAAGACAATCCAGCCGCGAGGCAAGCTGTCCCGCCTGCCGGGCCTTGTTGGCTATCTGCATCATCTCTTGATGGACCTGGCGATTGCTCGCCAAAACACTCGCACACGTGCCCGGCATCGCTCGCGACGACACAAAACATCGACTGCTGTCTGTGCTGGGCTGATGCGTCTGCCGTACCAGGTGCCAATTGGCCGCTGTTTGTGTGTCTTGACCACTTGGGAGGGGCTTAGTCGACATAAGCATCTCCGTATAGATCATGTCCCGCAGTTCGCGGGGAAGCTCCAAGAACTGCATTGGCATCGTGAACAATCCGCAATGGGTCCTTGCTGTTTTTCTCGTATCAGGCGTTGATCTTTCGCTCGCACGCGTACCTTGTCTTGGCGGCGCCTCGGAACTAGATCGCTGCCCAGCCTTCCTTCCCTCTTCACAGTTGATAGGGACTCGGGTTGAGCCTTTTCAATTCAAGCTTCTTCTTTTTCTTTCACAAAAATGCTACAAGAGCGTCTCTTGCCAAGTGTCACCGTTTGTAAGAAAATGTTTCTAGGCGTGCCTGGCGATTGTTTCAGGCACGCAGGTACTCCCCGCATCAGCATGCCATCGGAGCGATGCTATATGTTCGAGATGCGTTTCAAAAAATGGAGGGGGGAGGAAGGAGAGAGAGATGATCCTAAACTAAACAGGCACGCCCGACCGGTTCAAGCAATGCTCAGAGTATGCCGGTTGCTTGCAAACCAATACAGCTGTTCAGGCGGGCTTCGAGATGTTGGCAAAGGTGACGGAGCTCCGGGTTTCATTCTCATATAACAAGTCAGCCTCCCCGGGTTCTTGGCACCCAAGTCACCGGATGGGCCGTATTCGGCCCCATCGGTCTAATACAGACGGACCATTGGTCATAGTACATTGTCCAAGCGCAAAGACCTGTATTTTGTAAATCCTCCTAACTAGTATGTAGTATAAGCATAGATATAAACGGTCCCTTTATCCTGCATTGCCCTTTCCACCGAGACCAAAACTCTTCGCCCTTTCATCACCCTTCCGTCGGCCAATCAAGCATTTGCAATCACAACAAAAACAAAAACATGAACACGGACACACGCGCTTGCAGCAAGTAATTTTTATTCGACAATAAGGAAAACATGCTAGCCCTCATAAGCGCCAGCAATACGTCGCGCAATGCTAAACTAAGCAGACAAATATCACGTTAACACTATACCCCCAACAAGAGGCAGTGACAGAGGTGACTGGGTCAGAGAGAGTTGCGAAGCGAAGTGTTTCTCTGACGGCTAGAGAAGAAAGAGTATCACGTTAACCTACCGTCTTCACAGTAGGACAGAGGTGACTAGAGTGGGGTTTTTTTTTGGTCACGACTCCGTAGGAGCAGGAGCAGCTTCCGAGGGCTGCGTAGGAGCGGGAGCCTCTGCAGCGAGGGCTTGGAAGCCTTCGGTCGTGATGTTGACAGCACCAGCTTGTACAAGCTATACCCTGTTAGCATCTTAATTCCCGAATAGCGTCTTCGGGGACTTACAGCGCGACTCAGATCATCAATTAGATCCTCTGGGTCTTCAATGCCAACGCATAGCCTAATAATGTCTTCAGGCATATTCCTCTCCTTCCTCGTCTTCTCGTCAATGCTCGCGTGACTCATGCGGCAAGGCATGCTGATGAGCGAGTTTACACATCCAAAGCTTACACTAATGCCCCAGAGCCTCGCGCTCTCGACAATGCGTTCACTAACGGTAACATCACCCGTTTCAAAAGACAGTACAGCGCCAGCGCCACGTGCCATACTCCAGTGCAAGTCGTACTGCGGGTGCGACTTCAGGCCTGGGTAGCGGACCTTGAAGCCGTGAGACTCGAGGAAAGTGGCGATGCGCATCGCATTCTCCTGTTGCTTCTCCATACGAACACCTAGAGTCTTGATACCGCGAAGGAGCAGCCAGGAGTCAAAGGGCGACAGGCCACATCCTGAAGCATTGATGGTGAAGTAGAGTCGATCTCCCAGAGCAGAATCGTTGACGGCGATAACACCAGCCATGAGATCGTGGTGACCAGAGAGGTACTTGGTGCCAGACTCATAGACAATATCAGAGCCAAGGTCGAGCGGATTCAATAGCATGGGCGACATCATCGTGTTGTCGACTGCAACAATGGCAGTAGGGTTCGCGGCGTGGGCGATGTTGGCGATGGTGGGGATGTCGCAGATCTTGATCAGCGGGTTCGTTGGTGTCTCGAGGAGCACCATGGCCGTCTTGTTGTTCACCACTTCGCGCACCTTCTCGGGATTCGTCGTATCGACGTGGTGCACTATTATGCCACCATGTGTCGAGAGATATTTGAGCAGTCTGTTTGTGCCACCGTACAGGTCATCGCCGGTGATGACTTCGTCGCCGGGTCGTAGGAGGCGGGTGATGACGTCGAGAGCGCCCATGCCCGACGAAACGACGAGCGCGCGGTTTGCGTTCATAATCTTGGCCAGATGCCGCTCGAGATGTGTGCGTGTGGGATTGCCTGAGCGTGTGTAGTCATATTCGCCGCCGCCGCCGCTTGCAGACTCTTGTTTGAACGTAGCAGACTGTGAGTGTTAGCTGCGGCTCAAACGCAAATGTTCTTATCCGCGCCAACGTGTTGGCTTACCTGGTAGATGGGAACGGAGCTGGCATTGTACTGGTCGCTGCTTTCCGTGTACACCAGCTCCGTCATCAGTGCATACTTCCTGCCATTGCGGGGCGAGCTGGGCGCCGGCGAGGGCGGTAGGTTATGGCCGTCAATGTCGAGCGGAAGGGCAGCCTTGCCGCTGGCGCTGGCTTTTTTGGAGCTCTCTCCAGCCATGGTGAGTATTGTGCGTCCGCGTTGCGGACTGGAAGGAAGATTGAGTGGCGTAGGGCTCACAAGATCTGTGATGCGCGTCGAAGGAATGACGAAATGCGAGTGTTGAAGTACAGAGGAGATCTAGTGCAGCAGTAATGGACGCAATCCGTAGACTTTAAGCTTTCGGGTGCGTGAGTCCAAACATCAAAAGCATCAAGCGGCACTTCCACAGGCCATCTGCAAGGCACTCTAGTCCTGACCTGTGGGGAGTCACCGCTGGAATTGCGCCATCGAGGGCAAATCGGCACTTTTCCCTCGCTCCGAACATCGCCCGCACGGTTCCGCACCCGGAGCAACATGGAAGAGGGGGGGCATTTACCCCAGATTGAGATAACGAATCCACCATCTCAAGCGCTCACAAAAGTCACTCGCTGGCCCACAGGGTATGCAAATGCTGTTTTATTACTTCAACGTACGGGTATAACTACTTCGACCAATTTAAGCCTACACAGACAAATACAATCATTCCTACACGACATGCAGTGCGCCCGAACCTGTCCGCCGCCAAGACAAATGCCAGTGCTGAAGATACGACCATAAACGCCACCAATGCCCGCTCGTCATGAAACAACCCAATCCAGAGTGTGAAAACTTAAACCCCCCTCGTTTGCGCCAATTTATCGCGGGTTGATTGCAGGAAATCCTTTCCTCACATGAAGGTTCATCTTGAGCTCAAAGATACCTTCTTCCGTTCCGCAGTACAGTGTTCGCCCGTCCTGGCTCATGGCCAGCCCCGCTGTACGCACACCCAAACGTGGATCATGACTTAGGCGGGCCGGGCGGCGGAAACCAAGACTCATTTCATATGTGTCCGCCAAAGTCTGGCTAGCACGCGCGTTTCGGAGACGTTCGCGTGCTTGTGTTAGTTGACGAATTCGACGAAGTTCGTTACGCAGTTCAGGCACACTACCGGTGCCCTCAGTAGCAGATGGATGCGATGTCGTGTTACGGTTTGCAGCCCGTGTCTGCTCAGCGGTAAGCACCTCCTCGACTGTGCGCCACGCTTCATCAGTGGACGCCATCAATTCGCTAGTAATACGACGTGCTTGTGCTGGCACTGGGTTTGGCGACCGCGTAATGGCAGAATCGGTAACATTTGTAAGTGTTGCTGGCGCATTAATCGTGCCTTCATTAATTGAGACAATGACAGAAGCCTGCCGTCGAGGCGTTGTACGCTCGTGGAACCAGCGGGGAGCATGATTCTGA